CTCGACCACCAGACGACGAAGCCATTGGTGAGAGGGGCCACGGTGTCTTATGACAGATAAGCTGTGTTTGACAATGCAGACAAGTACTTTCTTATTTCTTTGATAATTTTCTTCTTTCTTCTTGCAGATGGGCCTGACGTCCCACACGCGGACATCGGACGAGGCGCAGGCCGCGTTAGTTAGGCACTCGGGCAAAAGCCTTTGGACACCACCAGCACCGCACCACCGCCAGACAGCATGATGCAGGCCTGCACAGCGTCGGCCACACTCAACGGCATCGCCCCCGCCGGAGGACCGCTCCAGGTCGCCATCATTGGTTCCGGCAACTGGTATCACTCTTTCTTGATTTCTCAACTTATATTACTATTTACACAATTTTATCATTTATTACTGTAGTGTTATAATTGTGCCAGCTTGCTTGTTCCTTCCTCTTCCTGCCTTTATTAAATAATTGGTTCCTGCTTTTAAATAAATATATTATTTCAATAAAAAATAAAACAGGGGGAGCGCCATCGCCAAGGTGGCCGGAGAGAACGTGGCGCGCCAGCCGGACCTATTCCTCCCCCGCATCAAGATGTATGTATTCCCTTTCCCCCGGCCTGCGCACTGCATTCCTTCCGTCCCAGCCTGACTGTGTTGTATGCGTGCCATGTGACCGACCAGGTGGGTGTTCGAGGAGCTCGTGCAGGGTCGCAAGCTGACCGACATCATCAACACGCAGCACGAGAACGTCAAGTGCGTGTGCCCTCCCATCGTGACGAACACACCATTGTAGTGCGCGTGGGTCCTGATGATGCGCCTTGGTGTGTGGTCGACCATGCACTCACTACTGGGCAGGTATTTGCCGGGCATCAAGCTGCCCGCGAATGTCGTGGCGGAGCCTGACCTCCTCGAGACGGTCAAGGACGCACACCTGCTCGTCTGGGTGCTCCCGCATCAGGTACCCCCCCCCTAGCACATGTCTCTATTGCCGGTGCCGCATGTGGTGGCTTACGCGCGCCCGCGTTTTCGCACCACGACGTACACAGTTCGTGGGGTTCACGTGCAAGAAGGTGCTGGGCCACATCAGACCCGATGCCAAGGCTATCTCACTCATCAAGGTCGGCCTCGCACCTCCATCCACGCGTCATTACTATTTTTTATTCATTTGTTCACTTGAGAATTTCTTCATTTATTCTGTTATTTAAGAAATCATTTATTCATATATGAACTGGGCCTCATCATAACTGACAACGAGCGTTGCAGGGCATGTCGGTGGTGGATGGCGAGCCGCAGCTGATCTCCGAGCTCATTCACGGCACGCAGTCCTCCCCTTAAAGCCGTGCGCTGGTTCTCGATTAATTGTGTTGCTTTCCTTTCCACCTGCAGAGCTGCTCGGAATTGATGTGAGCGTCCTGTGTGGCGGTACTTCCTCTCTTGGTCGCGCGTGTGTCGTGTGTGCGTGTGTGCGTGTGTGATGGTGCGCGCGTGTGTGTGCGTGTGTGGGTGTGCGTGTGCGTGTGTGCGTTATTGGTCGTGTGTGTCGTTACATGGGCTCACGTTGCGTTGGTTGCTTCGCCCAGCCAACATCGCTAATGAGGTGGCCAAGGGCGAGTTCAGCGAGGCGACCATCGGGTACAAGGACAAGGAGGTCGGCGCGGTCTGGAAGAAGCTCTTTCACAGCCCCACCTTTCGCGTACGCCCTCCCTCTCGCCCCCCGCCCCACCGCTCCGGCCCGTCGTAGACAACGGCGCGCAACAGGTCAACACGGTCGACGATGTGGCCGGCGTGGAGGTGTGCGGAGCGCTGAAGAACGTGGTCGCCCTGGGCGCCGGCTTCTGTGATGGTCTCGGGTAACTCCCCCTCGTTCACCGACCTTAACCAATAACACACACACACGACACGACACGACACGACACGACACGACACGACACGACACGACACGACACGACACACGACATTCATAGCATACTAAACAGAACCTCGCGTGTGCAGATATTCGTCTAACACGAAGGCGGCCATCATTCGATGTGGGCTCGAAGAGATGCGAAGGTTTGCCGACACCTTCTTCAAGAACATCAAGGCGCAGACCTTTTTCGAGAGGTGGCGGCACACTCTCCACTCCCTTTCGTTCACCGCTTCCGACACACGACTGAACTCACTCTTGCTCCTTGGGCAGTTGTGGGGTGGCCGACCTGATCGTCACCTGCTTCAGCGGGCGCAATCGGAAGGTGTCCGAAGCCTTTGTCGTGACGAAGAAGGTGCTCTAGAACCCATGCGCGCGTCAGTTCTTCATTGTTTCGTGCAATGCGACATTTCAATCTACGAGGACCCCACTCACGCCAACGATGACCACCTCTGTGATCGTCAGAGCTTCGAGGAGCTCGAGAAGGAGTTGCTCGATGGCCAAAAGCTGCAAGGCACCCTCACCGGTACGTGTGCTCTTCGGTCACACTCTCGCCACCTCGTCTCGCCCTCGGTCGTTCTCATATTGTCGTCATCGTCACACACACACACACACACATCACACACACACACACACAACATCACACACACCACACACAGCGCAAGAGGTCCACGAAATCCTGGAGAAGCGAGGCCTCACACTCAAGCACGTTCCCCCTCTCTCCGTTGTGTGCCGGCACCACACACACACCTAACGGCACCCATCATAGGTTCCCGCTCTTCACGACCATCTATCGAATCGCGTTCGAGGGCTTGCCGCCCTCCCAGATCATCGCCTTTGACGAGTCCTCGGCCTCTGCTTGACGGCCGTATGTCGATGGTGGTTGGTGCCACACACAGAAGGCCTTGGTCGTCAAGGAAACGCGGCCAATCATTTTTTCTCTTTTTGTTTCTTCTACTCCTTCGCCTTGGCTACCTTTTGGTCATCGGTCGCACAACACGAACGCACGCAAACACGCACAAGACACGTGAGCCGACGGCCGAATAATACGAGAAGCAGATCGAGGGTGGGTGCAAAAAAGCGGATCGACATACACATCTACGGCAGGAGTTAGAATCGTGGAATCGTGTAGGGAGAGATTTTTTTGAGGAAGAAGATGGATAGGCTGAGGGGCGGCGGTGGAAGAAGGGTGCCCGAGGTGCTGCGTCAGGTGGCGGCGGTCGAGGTGCGGCGACAGACCATCGAGGTGGATGATCCGTGCGCCCGCTCCGGCGGGGAGACCCTGCCGCGACGCACGGCCCGACTGTCGGGCGAGCTGCTCTCCCTCCTCTTTCCCCACTCGACCACACTTCCCCACGCCTTCAAGTACTTCCCGCTTCGTCGCTTTTATTTTGTTCTTATTTTTTAAAAAATTGTAAATAATAACAAACAATTATTATTTAAATGCAGGGGTGCCACGGAGAGCAACCGCAACCGTGCCGCGGTGTCGGCCCGAGTGTGGAGTACGCACCCACTTATTTTCATTTATTTATTACAATTTTTTGCCATCAATTGATATTTATGATAAGACGCGTGCCACACGTGCGCGGTTCAAAGAACATGTGGCTTATTTGCAGATTTATTTATTCGAATTGTTATTTATTTATTTTCATTTTTGGCGACAGCTGGCGACAAGTGGGGCGCGTACGAGTGCACCACCTATGGTGCCCTCTCGGCGCGCGTTGACAACTTTGGATCCGGTCTGCGCAACCTGGGCCTCCGCTCGGTACACGCACACAACACACAACACACAACACACAACACACAACACACAACACACACAACACATGTACACTCAGAGACACGACACATACCACCGCGTTGCTTTTATGAGTCGTTGGGCTTACATGCGGTGCGGGGTGGCGTAGGGCGACTTCCTCGCGATCTGGGCCGATAACAGCGTGGAGTGGGTCGTGGCGTCGCTGGCCGCCTTCGCACACTCGCTGGTGGTGGTGCCCATCCGACCGGATGTCTCCCCGACCACGGCCCGACACATCCTCACCCACAGGTACGCCGCGCGTGTGTCGTGAGTCGTGTGTGTGGCGTGTGTCGTGTCGTTTATGTAGTCTGGCACGGTGGAGGTGCGCGCTTAACGTGGGCTTGGTGGGTCGACAGCAATGCCAAGGTGGTGATTTGCTCGCACGCCACGCTGCCCGATTTGGCGTCGGTCATCAAGAAGTGCAAGAAGGTGAGCCACGCGGTGGCGATCCCGCGCTCCCAGAAGAGCAAGGGCAGCAGCAAAGGTGGTGTCGAACTGGAGGTAAACACCGCACACGACACGATCCAAGTAGTTGTTGTTTGAATGTTGTTGTATATCACCGTTGTTATGATTATCATTGAACTCACTGCTTCCATTAAAATAGGATATGCGCGACCTGGGCAAATGCCAACTGCGGTCCTTCGCAGAAGTCGAAACCAACGGGTACCGGCTGCACCTTCGCTTCGTCGTCGCGCCTCATTTTTTCATGATGGGAAAATGTTTGACTCGGCGCCGTTGGCTCTGGATCTGCGCAGGTCACAAAAGCCCATCAAGCCCATCATACCCGACGCCTCCTCGCCGGCCGTCATCGCCTACACCGAAGGTACGAACGCGCACCACCGCAAACAGCTGCGGAAGTGTTGCTGACGTGGCAGTTGTTGAAAAACAAAACAAAACAAAAAGGTTCGAACGGCGCGCCCAAGGGTGTGGAGATCAGCCATGCGGCGTTGGTCGCGACGCAGGCCGGGCTGGTCGCCCATGCTGGAGGCCGGCGGCGAGTGGGTGTCGACTCGGACGTGTTC